GCCGGGCCCCGGCCTTGCTCTGCCCGCGCCTCCCGGGGCGGGCGGCTCCGCGGCCACGCTGCGTGTTAGAGCAGCCTCTGAAGGCTTTAGGGGACACAGGGGGCTTTTTAATTATTAATATTAGTTTTTTTGGCTCCCCTGGGGACTGTTCTTGGGGCTCCCTCTGAGTGAGGCAGCAGATACAGTCACCACGCAGGCTCTGTTTATCACCATCGCAGCACTGAGCTAACTGCCACCTAGCAGCTTTTTTTCATCATTACTTAATTTAGATCACCTGCCTCTTTGCTTTCCTCAGGTGGCAGAAATCCAGGGGTAATGCTCACTAGAAACTCACATATGGTTTCCTGCATTGCCATAGCCCCTCATGCTGTGCCTGTGTACAGCTAGGCTCTTTTTTTAATGTTATTTTCAATGAAGAAGGAATAACTCATTTTCTATTTAAATTCTACTCTTTGTGGTTTGTGGCCGAAGATGAGCCGCTCCTTGGGTTTTGCATGTTGAGGAGACAGGATACACCTGCTTTTGGGGCAGAGGTATCTGCAAAGAGGGAGCCAGCCTGAAGAAACAGGCCTTAGGCATGAATAGGCATGAAGCTGGGGGGTGCTTTGTGGCTGCTTTTGCAAAGAAAAAACTGGCAAAAGCTTATGGTTATGAATGCATTTAGGTCCACACACCAGTGAGCTACAATAACACTCAGCGTCCTTATGGATACTGTTGTCAGACTTGTCGTATCTCCTGCCCTGGTGCAACTACACTTGTACACTGGTGAATAAATGTCGCTTAGGAGCGTGCGCATCCTGTCTGTGCTTGTTTTATCATACTCAGTGTTGATTCAGCTGAATTTGTTGATGACACCTACTGAAACAACAGGGAGGAGTCCAGATGTAGGCAAGTGACTACAAAAGTACATACTCCAGAAAGAAAATAGGAAAAATCCTACAGGTTATTTCTGCAATAGTATTTCCTTCAAGAAATTACTCAAAGGTAGTAAAAAGTCTTCCCACTTTTTTTAATCACCAAAATACTTCAGTAGATTGACACATACGTTTTTCAGGGTAAATGAGATTTTCTTTCTTTAGCCTAGTAGTCACTGCAACCTGATGCCTATAATCCCAGGCAGGCTATTTTTAAAACTTCTACAGATACTAGCAATATACTTAGGAATATAATATTATAATATTTTATACATTACTTTTGTATGGTTGAATATCCAAAGGATTTTTTTTTCACATGCACTTCTACCATTAAACTGTTTCCATAAGCTGTAAATTAAATAATATTAAAATCTTCAGATATTTAGGTATGTTGCTAAATAAAACCTTACTCCAAGTATGTGTGCCTTCAAAATGAGAGTTCTATTCAGTAAAAATTAAAAGCAATTAATCTTAAAAAACTGTAGCTGTCGACATCAAACTGAAAGTATCCTGCTGCACAAGAGTGATTTTTTTTTCATGTTCAAGTGCAATTTCTTTCTTCAGAGAGAACCTGCAGCCAGCGTTTGGTAATAGCTGTCTGTGCCTTGATAAAAAGAAAGAGTTGATGCCTTCAGTTTATATTTTTTGGTTTAGAGCCAATCACACTGGAATCAAATACAACTTTCCTGTATATTCCAGTGTCAAGATAACCAAGTTTCTAATATGTTGAGCTGGCTGAAAGAATGGCTAACGAATGGAGCAAATCCATCATGAACAGTATAATATGATCTAAACGATGCATACCTTAGCGTGGTACCAAGAGGCAGCTCAAAGGACTGGATCTCAGCAAGAGCATTTTCATATATCTGATCCTTGTTTTCTTCTAAATACAACTCTGACACATTTGACTTGCTTTTCCTTGCCATAGATTAGCATAAAACAGGTCTAACTCTACGAGAAGACTTTTATTCTGATTATTATCGTTGACTGAGCGTGTAGTCAGCAAAACCAGGCATGGAAAAAATAGATCGTGCATTAACCTCGTGACTCTTGAGGACTTTGTGTCCAAGAATGGTGCACAGCTGCTCTTTTCCTGTCTCAGCTAGTAACATTTGCCTTGTACGCAGTACCCAGGCCTGCATGGTCTTTTTTGTATGTGTATCCCATTCACCTTAAAATGAAACTGACTGGCAAAAAATTATATTTCTGCATCCTCAAACCAGTTCACAAGTGATAAGTATGGAGCCTGAAATTCAGCCCATTTGAAAAACACAATTATAAAGTCATTTCAAACCCTAAACCACAATGCTCAATTTCTCTGTCCAGTTTTGTGAGGTTAAAATATTTTTTTATAGAAAATTGTGATTTTCCTTTTGCTGTCTAAAAAAATCATACGAATAAGTATTTAGCAGCTTTTATGTAGCTGCTTATGGACTTCATAAAGTAAACTAAAAAAAAGATTTTTTTGTTGTCACCTTTCTCATTTTTAGCAATAGTAGATAGTATTTATAAGAACAGCTTGTAAAAATGTTCTACATTAACTCTTTTTATATGGCTGCGTTCAACTCTGCAATAAATAAAACAGTTACTAATTCATTACATGTGTTGCATTCCT